TCAACCTCTTGGACTCATGAATTTTCATCCCTGAAGCCAACAAAGAACCGGAAGATTAGCGGTTTGCCCTTGACACACCTTGAAACAACAGAATTCATTTTGCCAGTTTTTCCTTTTGGGGGATAAAAGACCCATTTAAAACAAATGGACACTGGTGTGGACTGTGATGAGTGGCAAAAGCCCCTTTTCAGTATTTACACAGGACATGGCCACTTGAAATATAAGCCTTGGTGGTTCCTGTTTCTGAAATCACCACTGTATTTTTCTAGAGAAATGCAACTTTTCCTAATGCAGTAAAAAGGAGACTTTGGCATCACGGCTGCTGTTGTCACAGCCATCACTTTATCAGCAACTGTGGCTGCCGTGTCCAGAGTTGCCGTTGCCCAAATTTCTGCCAAAGCAGAGACCGTTAGTAGCCTTGCTGGTAGAGTTAGCAAAGCACTGTCCACCCAGGATGCGCTCAATTCACCTATTCAGCTGAGGATTCTGATATTAAATCAACAAACTGCATCACTACAGAAACAAATTCTACCAGCCTTCCTCTGTTACAAGGGTAACCTGCTCACAATTTGATGGCCAAAACAGTGATAAAGTTTACAGTTACTCCAAGATCCACTCAGGAAAGCATTTAGAAGGCACACTTGCACAGATACATTAGGTATACTCATTGATGTTACACATGTAGCATGATAAAAATATGAACAAGAGGCTTGTCGCACTATCCACAGAGCGCCAATTTGTTTCTGTAGTGTCCCAGATCAAGGGATGCGTAAGGCAATGGGGAGGCATTGTATCAATGGGCATCCTGGGAGTGGTGGCAGTGGCAGTAGGCATTCTGGCTTTATGCCGAGTTCAAACATGCCTTTTTCCATAGGCAACAGATCCATCACCAAGTATTGCTCAGCTTATCCCATGGCAAAGCAGGTAGCCATGAAGTCTGGTTACAGATGGTTCAAGGATGAGGTGCTCTAATGATGGGCAGCCTGTGGGGAAGAGACCTCCCGCCTAAGACAGGGGTCGCCAGGTCCCCCAACGATGGATAAAGGAGGGTGACCCTACTTGACCTAAGACTAGAGTGTCTCATTAGAAAATAAAAAGGGGCAATTGTGGGAACAACAGAACTTAGCCGGAGGCCCACTTCCCCTTCAGCCTGGGAGCAGGCAGCTATAACCAACCACAGAGAACACATATTTACTAAAAGCAATATGGTGCTCGTAAGAAATGTTTACTGGATCAATAAGTTCCTGATGTTTTCAGAAGGGCTTGCCCATGGGAACACACTGACCTTGACCTTTCCAAAGACTAACTGCTTCTTTCTGGCCCCAAACCGCTGCCTCTGGTGTGAGCGAATATAAGAAGCTGGGGTAAGAATAAAGAGAGGGGCTTCTTGAAGTTTTCTGGAGGAATTATTGAAGTCTTCTGTGGGTTTTCTTGTGGCCTTCTTGAAGCCTTCTTTCACCACCTACTGGTCTCTGTGTCATCAATCCCCAACCCCCCACAGATTTTTGGCCAGTCTGCAAAGCAGGTGCAGCAAGACAGATATATAGATAGACAGACAGACAGAGAGACAGACAGACAGATAGATAGGTGATACATATAGATAGATCGATAGGTGCTGCATATAGATAGATCGATAGATTCAATGAAACAGAGAGCAGGGAAAGTTTTACTAAGCCAAATGTACAGGACTATAATGAAGGTACTTGTTTAGGTTATAACCTCATATAGATGTAAGAAACATTATGTTTGGTATAAAGAATATCATTTAACTAGCCCTTATTTACCTGGCCTTGACACTAAGTTTAGTTTAAAGTACAAAACCTAACATAGGTTAAACGTAGGTTATTAAAACTGTGAACATTTGCTGGGTGGTGGTGGAACATGACTTTAATCCCAGCACATCTAGTGAGTGTACAGATACCACAGTGATGACCCAGCTGCTAATGAATCATGACTGTACTTTTTCAAATATTGACTGTATTAATCCTCTTACTTGCAATTAGTCAGAATTATTCTACCTTCTTGTTAATCATGACTGCAAATATTAAAAAAGGTCCTAGAAACCTGTGTTGTTCCCCTATTGTTTTGTGCTTCCTAGATAAGGACAGGAGCCTGGAAAAATTATCCATGGCTGGGAATGAAGCAGGATGGAAGTTGTCCAGAGTTTTAGAGGTGGTTGTTGTTAGCAGTGAAACATCCTCAAATAAAATATAATGATCTATAACAGGATCTATATCAGGAACCATCACATCATATTTGGACAAGGCAAATAAGCAGAAGGAAAAGAGCCCCAAGAGAAGTAACAGTAATCAGAGGCCCACTCAGACATACAATCAGGAGGCTTGTATAAGGAGAAATAGTAATTTAGACTTCTTCAATATGTAATAGTAATATATTTTTCAAAGTCAAATTTACCATACATGAGTAAAATTTTATGTTGTATTCTGCTCCTCTTCTTTTTCATATATATTCATATATATTATATTATACTATATTAAAAATGCATCCCACACATGCAAATAGAAGCTTCTCAGTACATATAATATTATTTGTAAATGTGTTTTCAGTGCTTTTTGTGTTGGTGTACTCTTCTTCATAGTTTCTTAGTTATCTGTATTCTTTAATTAATGTTGGGTTCAGGTGAAGTGCCCTCCTTTTCTATAAGAATATCTACTGATATCATTATTTATGAAGAAGCTATGCTATTTATAAAAATTAAAGGTATAGGTCCTTCCCCAACACATATGACATGATAAATACCTGCTTTGGGATAGTTTTATAGAACCAGTCATAATTAAATCATCACCAAGTGAGCTTTAATTCAAAGAGTTACTTCATAACATCAATTATCAGTATTCCTAACTGTATTCCCAGTATCTTTTCCAGAAATCACCTTTATGATATGTTTTGATTTTATTGTTTTAAATTTCTACAGAATAATAATTTTGAATAATTTAATCATGAAGAAGTGTAAGAGAATCATCTTTCACACAAATCTCCAAGTTTATATTTGTGCTCTCAACTTAATTAATGCACATGGAGTACTATGCCATATATAATTGTGTCACAGTCTCTATCTTTAATAGAGTAAAGACTGTAAGTAACCAGATTCTTCCACATTCTGTCTTCTAGCCCAGACCATGCACATTTCTCTGTATATACTGTGAGCTTATTGTCCTGATCTTCTATTGCATTAGATAAGAAGCCCACACACAGGAAATCATCCAGTTTTGTGTCCATATGTTAATTGGTGGTCTCCTGAATGATCTCTGCCTGACTATTTCCTGTGCACAATGTAGATGCCTTTAGGTCTTAGAGCATTTGTATCACTTTTCTGTTGTAAGAAGTTTTATTTTGGGGAGCTCTTGAATCCCAGATTAATGTCTGAGAGGCCAGAATGGGACTGATCCTTACCTACTAAGTTTGGATGTCAGTGAGGAGGCCTTGGCAGTCTATGGGGCCTTGAATAACAGATCAGTATTTGTCCCTGGCATACAAATTGACTTTGGGATCCCATCCCATACCAAGGAATGCTCTCTCAGCCTGGACAAATTTGCGAGGTTCTAGGCCCTGCTCAGGATGAAATGACAGACTCTGGAGATGCCCCATGGAGGGACTCCCCCTCCATGTGGAGCATATTGGGGACTGGGTGGGGGCTGGTGGGATTGGTGAGGAGGGCAGTGGAAGATGGGAGGGATAGGGAGCTGAGATGGGCACGTGAAACAAGCTTGTTTCTAATTTAAATGAAAATGCTTTACACATTGGCACAGCAGATATATTTGTATCATATAGTGCTCCATGTAAATTAATAGGGGGTTATCTTAGTGAAGCCATCTTTAACTGAAATCAGTATAGAAACTAAAATCTCATTTTTGATCTGCTTTGTCTCTGTATAATTATCTTCCAAATATTTTATTCTTCCTGTTTGTACTTAAATGAAATTTGCTTTGGGAAAATATACTTGATATTTTATATTTCTCATCCAATTAATTTGACATGTTCTTTCTGCCTGTTGTTTAATGGCATGCCTGGAATCATGGACTATGTGGTACTTGCTTTAAGATAAAGCATCCAGGTGTTTTCTTCAATTTCTTTCTTCCCTGTGTTTGAGGTTATGTGACTTATATCAAGTCAGTTCCGATATATATATATATATATATATATATATATATATATATATATAGATATAGATATAGATATGCCTGAGACTTTTTTATACACCAGGTTTTTTTACTTACATAAAGAGAATTAATTGCATCAGCTTTGACATACACTTTCCCTCTCTTACCCCTCATCCCTCTTCTTTCCTTCCTTACTCTTTTGATTATGGAATTACATATAGAACCATCTTGAATTTACATCACGGTGACCTTGGGCTAATGGTAATCCATGGGTTCCTGTGTAGATTACAATTTTCTGTCTCCTGGCTTTGACTCTTTCTTACAGCAGCCTTTGTTTCCACAAGGTTCAGTAACTAGATTACTCACAGTTTCTACAATGATCTGGAGTATCTGTAGAGAGGAGGGAGGGTAAGCCCTGATTGGTGTGTAAAATAAATGAAATAATTTAATAAAAAGCCATTCTAAAAGACGAAACTGAGTTCCCAACCTCAGGAAGCAGCTATAGTTAGGGCTGGATTTGAATTAGGCAGTGGTCTGTATTTTCAGGGCTGAAATCAGCACATGGAAAGAAAATAGCTCCAGAGCATGTACCAGAGAGATGCCCACTGCCCTCTATAAAACAAGACATGAAGAAATATGCTGGAATTAGCCCTGGAATGCATTTTTGTGAGTATTAAATCAAATAGATGATCATTATTGTGTACCAAAAACATAGCATAGAATGATATTAATTTATTAATTTCCTATTTTTATCTTTGTAGTCATACTTTCTTGGTAATTTTAGACAGAAATTAGGACATGTCATATCTTCCCTACAGCTACAGAGTTTGCTATATAGCAGGAAGTCATGCAAATAGGGCCTCTCTCTTCTCACAAAACCAGGCCAGCACTGACCTTGAAGCTCAGGCAGAGGAGACCAGCCCTGGATTCCCAGGTCTTCCAATTCAGTGATCAGGACTAAACACAGACTTCATTATGGATTTGGGGATCATTTGGGTTTTCATTGTTACTCTTTTAAAAGGTAATTTATTAAGAAGACATAGACATATTGAGCGTGTTAGTGAACATGACCATGATGGAGAGTGAGTATTTATGGCAGTTTACTGACAGCATTCTTTGTGTTTACAGGTGTTCAGTGTGAAGTGCAACTTGTGGAGTCTGGTGGTGGCCTGGTGCAGCCTGGGAGTTCCCTGAGACTCTCCTGTGTAGCCTCTGGGTTTACCTTCAGTAATTATTGGATGAGCTGGTTCAGACAGACCCAAGAAAACAAACTGGAGTGGGTTGGAGAAATTAATAAAGACAGCAGTATTACAAACTATTCACCATCCCTGAAGGATCGATTCACCATCTCCAGAGACAATGCCAAGAACACTCTGTACCTGCAAATGAACAACTTGAAGTCTGATGACACTGCCATTTATTACTGTGCTAAACACACAGTGAGGTGATCTCAGTGTGAATCCAGACATAAACCTCACTGTGATTCTGCTCATAGTCACCAGGGGGCACAGAGCACACACAGAACACAGGTTAATCCCTAGAGATCATGTAGACAGGGTTAGATGAAGCACCCCTGTCAGTTGTCTGGGCTTCACTTTTTCCTGTGTTTCCTGGAAAGGCTCTCTACACTTATTTTCTGAAGGGAACCAATATCCTCAAAACATCACATGCTCTCCTTGTACTATTTTTAAATGAGGCACATTCGTCCATGAACAATATGCAAACTGACAGCTATAAGGAAATAAAGGACCCTGACATAGTCACTGAAATCACATGCTAAGGACATTTGTGGACAATCCTGAGACTTTTCACATTCTAGGAAGTGTCTTGATAGTATTTCTTGATTATAAGGCTCATGTGGTTCATGTTTAAGAGAAATCCAAGGGAAAGGTTGGGCCAAGATCATTAGACCATCAAAATTAGCAGGTGAGAAACCTCCCCTCCTCTCCTCTAACTGAGGACTGTGTGCTTCAGGTTCAGATGTGACCCAGCTGTGCTTTTAGTTAATTCAGACTATTACTGCATGACTGTCATCTCTGTTAATCATGGAAATTTGATTAAACTGATACCTTCATTTGTTGAAAGCTGTAAATGAGTGTGGAAACTAGAGTTCCGACACTGGGGACAGATATATTGGGCATTGAAAATTATTGAGTGGCTCAATTCATGAACTTCATCTTCATTCTCAGTTGGAAATCCTATATTCAAAAATATTATAAAGTGGTAGGTGAAAGACAGCCTAGTACAACCTCTAGCCTTTATATGTGTGTATACACACAAGCATACTCATCTGTACTTAAAAACAGCAGAGACAGAGACAGAGACAGACAGATATACACACAGACAGACAGACAGAGAGACAGAGACAGAGAGAGAAAGAGAAAAAGAGAGAGAATGAAAGGGAATACAAGGTGCTTTTGAAGAAATGTATCAAGACTCAAATCAAAATGTTACAATTTGCTTCATGAATTTCCCTTATTGTGGTGTTCCATAAAATACCAAAGATTGGAATTTATGCACAGAAGTTTTACACAGGTAGTCATCACCTTATAATCTATTAAATTCTACTCCAAAAACCATCAACGGTTGAATGAATAAGATAACATGTGTGATATTTCCATAAAATGCCATGTTTTCACTCAACATGAATTTAATGATTTCTATGCCATAGTGTGAATGAATCTGGAAGAGATTGAAAGTGAAAAGAAACACAGACTATTATCCCATACATCACATTTCCATTTCAGTAAGAATCAAGACCTGGGAGCCGGGCGTTGGTGGTGCACGCCTTTAATCCCAGCACTCTGGAGGCATAGGCAGGCGGATCTCTGTGAGTTCGAGGCTGAAAGACCCCAGCCCAGCACAGGCAGCTGAGGCTTATGGAAAATTCCTTTCCCCCACAGCTCAGCCGAATAGTCATTTTGTTATCAGAAGGGAGCTCAGCTCAAGGTCCTTATAGCTGAATAGTCACTACTATCTCTGTCCAGGCAGGGACACAGGTGTCTACTGTCTGCATAGCGCTGCATAGCCAGCCCAGAAAGATTGGGCAGGCACAGAGACCTATTGTTCTTCAGATAGGGCCAAGGCCGAGACTTGAGTTCCAAGCAAAACCTCAATTGCCCTCGTTCTGAGCCCAGGCCTCATTTACATTGCCCAATCAGGGTCCTGTAACTAGGCTTCTTGCTTCTGTACTCCGCTTTTTGCTATAAAAGGACCCCTGAGTCCCCAGCTCGGGGCGCTCAGCCCCCCCAAGACTGAGACGCCCGGGTACCCGTGTGTAAATAAAGCCTCTTGCTGTTGCATCCAAGTTTGTGGTCTCGTTGTTCCTTGGGTTCGGGTCTCCCTCCCGTGAAAGTCCCCCGCTTGGGGTCTTTCATTTGGTGCATTGGCCAGGAATGTGAGACCCCCGCCCAGGGACCACCGACCCACTTCTGGGAGGTAAGAATTTTCCGGACTAAATTTCTGTTGTTTCTGTTGTCTGCTGTCTGTCTGTCTATGCCTGTTATTTTATCGCGCCTGCGTCTGTAGTATACAGCTGTATACATCTGTATCTGGCGGCACCAACCGCAGCTCCAGGAGACGTCCTGGTAGCGTCTGGAGTTCTTAGGGACACGTCTGTTTGGGGTAGATGTCAATCTGCCCCGTCTGGAGTTCTTAGGGACTCGTCTGTTTGGGGTAGATGCCTAGGGGTCTGCCCCGTCTGTTTGGGGAACCCCCTCTGACAGAGGGATTTTCCATCCTGGTAGGGGACGAGGACGGGAGGCCCCCAACCTCGAGCCCAACTGAAGTTTTGCTTTCGACTTTACGTCGAAGCCGCGCAGCGAAAATCTGTTCGTTTTTGTTTCTTGTTTGTTTGTTTGTCTTAGTCATCACTCTCGAGAAGATGGGCCAGACAGTTACCACTCCGCTCAGTTTGACCCTTTCACATTGGCCACAGGTGCAGGAGTATGCTCGTAACCGGACTGTCGATGTGCGCAAGAAGGAATGGATCACCTTTTGCTCTTCCGAGTGGCCAGCTTTAAATGTTGGCTGGCCCCGGGATGGCACCTTTAACTCTCAAATTATCTTCCAGGTGAAAGAGAAAGTGATGGATCCTGGGCCCCACGGCCGTCCGGACCAAGTACCCTACATAGTCACCTGGGAAGCGTTAGTTCATAACCCTCCTACCTGGGTGCGCCCTTTTTGTGCACCCCGGAGGTCCCCCCTCCTCCTCTTCCCTAACCCCTGCCAATTCCAAACCATCCGCACCCTCCCTTCCGCCCCCCTTTGACCCCCTCCCCGTATCCTCAGTCCTCCCATTCTGGCCTGTACCCCACCGTAACTAAGCAGAAAGAGAAAGAAAGAGACCCCAAAGTCCTCCCTCCAGAAGACGGTCTCCTGTTGGATTTACTGACGGAGGAACCCCCACCATATCAGGCTCCTCCGGCAGGTCAACCGGCGGCAGCTGAGGCCGCAGCAGCAGCTGGGGCCCAACCTTCGCCTCCCACCGACCCGGAGCCCTCACCTATGGCCTCTAGACTGCAAGGCGGCAGGGAGCAACCTGCTCCGGATTCCACTGCCCTGCCCCTCCGGACAGGCCATGATGGCCAATTACAGTACTGGCCGTTTTCTGCCTCAGATCTTTATAACTGGAAAAATAATAACCCCTCCTTTTCAGCAGATCCTGTGAGACTGACTGATTTATTGGAGTCGGTTCTTACTACCCACCAGCCCACCTGGGACGATTGCCAACAGCTTTTACAGGTCCTCCTCACTTCGGAGGAAAAACAGAGGGTCCTTCTTGAAGCCCGGAAGAATGTTCCTGGGGCAAATGGACAACCTACGCAGCTCCCAAATGAAATTGATGCTGCTTTCCCCCTCGACCGCCCAGACTGGGACTTCACCACTGAGGCAGGTAGGACCCATCTACGTCTTTATCGCCAGTTGCTTGTAGCGGGTCTCCGAGGGGCAGGTAAGCGTCCTACCAATTTGGCCCAGGTAAGACAGATAGTTCAGAAGGCAGAGGAATCGCCAGCCGCATTTTTAGAGAGACTTAAGGAGGCTTACAGAATGTATACTCCATATGACCCTGAGGACCCCGGGCAAGCTACTAGCCTGACCATGTCCTTCATTTGGCATTCGGCCGCTGACATCAGAAACAAATTGCAGAGGCTAGAGAATTTACAGGGTTATACATTACCAGATGTATTAAAAGCGGCGGAGCGCATCTTTAACAAGAGAGAAACACAGGAGGAAAGGGAAGAGAGATGGAGAAAAGAGGACCAAGAAAGGGCAGAACGTCAGAGACAGGAAATGGAAGAAAGGGAGATAGAGAGGGACGAGAAGCATAATAGAGAAATGACTAAACTGTTGGCCACAGTAGTCGCAGAGCAGAGACAGGATAGGCAGAGAGAGGGACAAAGAGGGCCTCGCCTAGAAAGGGACCAATGAGCATACTGCAAGGGAAAAGGACATTGGGCAAGAGAATGTCCCAAGAAACAAAGAAGGACATTCCAAAGGCCCAAACCCCATTCTCAGACCTCCGACCTCCTGAGCCTCGAAGATTAGGGAGGTCAGGGCCAGGAGCCCCCCCCCCCCTGAGCCCCGGATAACCATACCAGTAGGGGGCGCCCGGTCACCTTCCTGGTCGACACGGGGGCTCAACACTCTGTTCTAAATCGGTCACCCGGCCCCCTGAGCCGACGAACTGCCTGGGTACAAGGGGCTACCGGTGGGAAGCAATATCGATGGACCACGGACCGCCAGCTCCATCTAGCGACCGGTAAGGTGATGCACTCCTTTTTTACATGTTCCTGACTGTCCATACCCCCTCCTGGGTCGAGACCTCCTAACGAAGTTAAAGGCTCAAGTACATTTCGAGAAAGCCAACATAAGAGTCACGGGGCCAGAAGGGGCCCCACTCACGGTGCTGACCATAGCCTTAGAAGAGGAATATAGAATACATGAGCCCAAGGATGACTCTTTTAAGGTCGAGGACCGCTGGCTGACCGACTTTCCCCAGTCCTGGGCAGAGACTGGAGGCATGGGACTAGCCCTCCAGCAGGCTCCCATCATAGTCCATTTAAAGGCATCTGCTCTCCCGGCCTCAATTAAACAATATCCTATGTCCCGGGAGGCCCGCGATGGGATCAAGCCTCACATTAGGAGGCTACTGGAGCAGGGCATTCTAACTCCCTGCCGGTCCCCCTGGAACACTCCCCTGCTGCCAGTCAAAAAGCCCGGAACCAATGACTATAGGCCGGTCCAGGACCTCCGGGAAGTCAATAAGCGGGTTGAGGACATACACCCCATGGTCCCCAATCCCTATAACCTCCTGAGTGGACTGCCACCTGACTATGTTTGGTACTCAGTCCTGGATTTAAAGGATGCCTTCTTCTGCCTGCGGTTACACAAAGACAGTCAACCACTGTTTGCCTTTGAATGGCAGGATGCAGACCTGGGAATCTCG